TGATAAAAGGTATCTGGCTATAAACAGCTTAAGAGGCTATTTATCAGTCGCGTATGTGTCAGTCTGTGTAACAGATAAGGAGCAAAGAGATGTGATACATGGTACAGGCTGTTGAGCAATGAGGGTTGAAATGTCGAGGGATCGAAACTGCAAACTCATCATAGATGTTTGTTTGTTTGTTTGTTTATTTATTTATTTTAATGTGGTTCATAAACAGTTGTCAATTACTGGTTATTCCAATGAACTCTACAGACTGCTGTCTCAATTGTTTGTTAAAAACGACAAGTAACAGAGCGTCCTTTTTACATAAATGTTTAAGGGTCATATCAATATATAGGATGGGTGGCTATTCAGATTTTCCTTTAGAAAATACCTTTGACACATGAATCATGGCTAGAAGTGTCTCGTATCAAATTTTAAGTGAAAAGGGGGCTTAAGTTACAAAAAAAAAATGTAATGACCAAAATGGTAAAAGCTAGATGCATCAAGCAGGATCTCTGCTGCAGTGATTATTCATCTCATGAAACTTTGTCTTGTAAAAAGGAAATCTCTTGCTCACGACTTTTTACTGGTATTCAATAATGCACGGAAAATATGCTCAAAGCATGAATCATGACCCTGTGCGGTTAATGTGGTACTTTCACATCAATCTATGATTCAAAAAAGGATGCCAGACTATGTCATGACGCAGTGGAGCAGCTGACACTTGTGTGAAAGTTTTAACACCGTTGGTTTGGACATATATGGTTAGAATTGTTTACCATCAATAAATCTTGCGCTGGAGGAAGCTGACCCTGAAAGCAGAAGTACTGCCGTCTCATCAGAGAAGCTAGTAAATCATGAGCACCAGGAGGAGCTGTGAGGGTTTTCGTGTCTTGTCAGAACATGAAGCGTTGTCTGTGTCCCAACAAAAAGGAATGAGGATGACATGCTCACTGTTATTCCTGTTTGGTTTAGTTTTTACCATCCTTTCGGCTCTGTCTACATAAAAGTTTAAAAGCCTGTATCAAACCCCATCTCTTTTCTTTTTTTTTTTTTGGAAAGCATATATGATAACTCTTGTTTTTTTCCATAACAACAACTAATAGTCTACATTTTAACCAAAATGCAAAGCATTTTCTTGATGTTTTATGTAAAAGTTACTGCATCTTTGCCTCTAAAAGTAAGTCTCTGCTTTAAGGAGTCCATTTCAGTCCTATGATAGCAAAATATTTTCAATAATATTTCCGTGGCAGTCTCTCATCATCTCTATCAAAAGAACCTTGGCAACATTATTAACATACTAGGAATTTATTTCCTTTTTAAGGAAAAACCATGCACAGCAGCTCCTCTGCAGTAATAGAAATGTTGAACCAAAGAAAGCTGTATCAGTACACACTGCTTTGCTTTGTCGGGTCGGTTGTAAAAACATAACTTTTGTAGGAACTGCCTTCAGTACAGCAAGCTTATAATTGATGCACATTTACTGGATTGTTATTAAACTGCAAGCGACTGAGAAAACGGTTTCGCACTCCTCTCAGTGTTTCCCCACACATAAACTTTACTTCTCGGAGCCCCACAGGCTTATTAATGACCACCCAAGAATATTTGGCAACTTATCTTAGCAGTTCTTTCCTGTGTTTCCATACTGAGCATTGCTGCTGTGGCATAATTTCCCTAATTTTCTAACATAGACTGTGTAAATGGACGTAGCCACCATGACATCACTCATCGGTTAATAAAGTCCTCTTATGAAACCTTTAGATACTTTGCTATTTTGAAAGGAGAGCTTGGTGAACATGAGTTGCCCAGCATACCCTCAATCCCCCCCCCCTTCTCACTCCTACAGTGGACTGGATGACATGTTTTATTCAGTGTGACCTGAAACAAGCAGTTGAGCCCATAAACCCATAAGGAAAGTATTACTGAGGTCACAGAGCAAGACAGCTGTGCTCTGCTTGTACCCAGAGGAGTTGCCCCCTGCTGGCCTTTAAAAAGAAGGCAGGTTTAAGGGACTTCCATCAGACCTGGAAGCTTGATCAATCTTTTCTATTGTTTGTGTATTTCCATGTTTGAACTCCAACTCCACCTTCTCGGATTGCAGTTGAAGACACGTGCCTGTCCACCCTCCTCAAATATAATCTAAATATGTAGGACACATCGCTTCCGTGACATTTATGAACCCAAAAAGTGCAAAGTAAGATTAAATGACGCACAGCAAATTACATATTGCTCGTTGCCTTCACTTTATCTAATTGTTTCCATGTGCAACTCACTCTGTCAAATGTTATGACTTCATGGCTTTAAGGCGATACCATATCTGGAGTAGTCGTCCAAGGACGTTCAACCGACGTTGTTCAACCTTTGCCACAGTTCAGATCATTATTTTTATGTATTTTAAAGCTTCAGAATAAAACTGTTAAATGGCAACAGTGTCTGAGTTAAGACAGATCGGATGCAGGGTTGGATTTGTGTGCGTGGACGATTATGTTGGAACAAACATGCTTTTGACTAAAGGTCATGTCTGGGGCCGGTAGCCTTCAGGGAAATATTTGCAGACTTGGCGAGGAATCTCGGTGGAGACACAGGACTTACGTCAACGTTTGTTTATCCACCAGCATATGTGAAGTAAATATTTGAGCTCAGCTTTACATAAAAATGTTATGATAGCTGCCATCGTACTCTGAGCAAAGTGGCCGCACTCTGAAAAACATGCACTTGCTGCGTTTTATATCACTGTAAACAACCATGTGTTGCTTATTGTAAATTATCTCTGACATCGGGGAGTGCCACTGTGTCTGTCAGCTCTGTATGCATGGCCTCAGGAAATTTTCACACACTTGGCTCTCTCGTGCTTTCTCATTCCGCTGTAGACTATTTGCCAAAGCCTTTTTGTTTAAAGAGTAATGTTGGTTTTGCAGAATGCTTATGGGTTATTTTCTTCCTTACTGCTATTTCACTAAAACCAGAAATGGTCCAAACTAGGGCTGGGCTATATCATACCGTTCACGGTAATACCGGTGTAATGTTGGGCAACGATAGGAAAATGAAATATCGTGATAGAATATGGGTAAAACGCGCATGCGCACTGCCTTTGTTTACACACGCACATGGCGGCGACGCAGAATAAGAAGAGCGAAAGTGGATCGTTAAATGAAACGGATGAACCAGAATTGGTTTGTAAAAATGCTGCAACTTCAGTGGTGTGTAACTGGTTTAGCTTTCGTCCGTTAGATACACAACAAAGCACTATTTTTGGTAGAGCATGCGAGCGGGCCGTTGTTATTACAGTGTTTTTTTTGAAAATACGGCACACTTAAAATCAATCCTTTGATTTTTCTGAAATTCGACAGTGCCCCTTATAATCCCGTGTGCCTTATGTATGAATTCTGGTTGTGTTTACTGACCTCGAAACGATTTTATGTGGTACACGTGTTTTAGTACGACTTTGCTAAGCTACGAACCCGCATCGCTTGATGGATTGTCGGATCATTACGGCTATCGTAGGCAGGCGCCTCGCGGAGTGATATGTACTGCGCTTCAACATAATATTACGGTATTGTGTGTGTATAACCTCTTAAGTTTTGTGGATATTATACATGGTTATGCTGAGGATATGTTGTAAAAATGCCTTTTGGTTAAACTGTCAGCAAGGAATTTGCATTTGCACTGTTAATTTTTTTTATATAACTTTAATGCACTTAAAAAAGCTGCTTAAGTGAAAATACATTGATGTTTGTTTGTTTTTTTGCACGAATAAAGTTGAGGAGTTGTAAAGTATTTTGTCTAGTGTCAATTATATCGTCACTTATCGTTATCGCAAATTTTCAAATGTATATCGTGATAAATATTTTTGGTCATATCGCCCTGCTCTAGTCCAAACTAAATTTTTTGAGATGCCACAATAAAGGTCAGTTATTTTTACTTGGACTTCAGGGATAGAGATGGTACCCAGTAGATGCTCATTTTAAGAGTGTGCTGATTTTCCGTTAATGCAAAATACTTGTCATGCATCCTATTCCATTAAAAAAAAAGTGCTGTGGAAAAATGTAATCTAAATTAATTAATTTGCATATATAATTTAGGCTTTTTTACTGGCTCCCAATGGGACCCTGTGTTGAAAATATAAGTAAGCAAGATTGGTCAGCATATTGTAAAGGCAAAGAACCTTACTTAGTAGAATTCAGTGCATGTTGTTGCTATTTCTGGTCATGTAATTAAAATGTGTTAAACGTATGGTTTATCTTTGGTGTTCTAGGAAAAAAAACACATTTTAAGTTGTATTTAATTCCAAAATTTACAAAGGAAACATCAAATGTTAAAATTAAAGTATTACTAGTTGGAAAACAGATGAGGTTTGAAATAATGTAAAACAAAAATTTAAAGAATTTGGGAAGTGTCACAGAATCTGGAGAAATCCTGTATGAAAAGACTAACACACTGACACAACAATGTCTGTAAAAAAAGGGCAAAGATGTGGAATATTTTCACTATGTGATAACACACACTTCAATTGTGATAATCATTGTTGTTGATCTCTGCGCCTAGATGCCACCCCCGCTTGTTTTTGCAACTGCTCCACCACCATCCACAACTTGTCTTAACTTGTAAAGCTCTGACAAGCTTCAGTTTTAATTGAAACACAGGTGACAAAAATTAAGCATATTTTTGTAAAAAATTCAATTAAATTAAAAAAAATCAGTGTTGAGTAATTACAATGTCTAAAGCGGATTATAATTGGGCTTTGATTTGCAACTGTGTCAGGCCAAGCGTTTCACTGATGTGTCATCACCACTAATGCAAAAATGCAGGACGTGCATCTGCTGCCAAGGAATGCAAGCCCTTTGAGTTCAGTCAGCTGATTAACGTTGCTTTTATCATGTGGATTGTAACAGTAGGAATTCTGAGGCTGTACGCTCTTTGATCGTCACTGCAGCTTGTTTCATGTTTCTCTGTTTAAAACAAAAAATTACATTTCCTGTACGGTAACCCCTCGTTGTGTTCCCTGTTGTCATCCTCAGATAAATACAGAAAATGGAGGACTCCAACAGCAACAAGCCATTTATGGTGACATCCTCTCTGAACTTCAAAGTCACCACCCCTTCCTTCTACAACCAGCCAAAGAAGTTTGCTTCTGTGGCCCCCCCACGACCCAAAAGTCAAACACCTCCTTCAGCTCCATCACCAACACCAGTAGGCACAGGTGTTATTGGCCGAGTTGGAGACCTGCCTCCACCGCCCCCTTCGCTCTGTTATGGTATTTACATTTATTTATTCATTTATTTTTGTCTGTATTAAGTTGTATCCACTGAAAAAAGCCCCCATTCCCTATCCCGCCCACTGCTGCTTCTTATGCTAGAGCATGCAGAGCTTCACGGTTGAGTACAGGATGGCTGTGGTACTGTCTGTCTCTCCAGCACATTACATTACTGTGCTCTTAACGCCTGGCTTTTAAGGGTTCTTCTGAAATATGCAGATAGTCTGGGCGATCTTGCTTTTGTTGGGAAATTTCGTTTTTACTTTTAGAGCTGTGCACAATTACACTTCTATAAATACAAACAATCAGACAGTTCAAATTAAAGGTTGTAAGGATGTAAATGCAGGGTATTTCCTACAAGGTAGGAAATGCATTTGGTTGTGTTAAGATGCCAAAAACGCATTTAAAGCCACTTTTGGCTTTATTCACAAGAGGTCACCACACAAGTATCTCCAAATGTTTTATTTATTTATTTATGCCGAATACCCTTCCTGACACACACCCAAAGAGATTGTCTCCTCCTGTGATTGAACCAAGAGTCTTTTGCTAATCTAAACATGTTTCTTGTTTTATCAAAAAAACCTCCTCAGGGCGCCTTTTAATGCATAAAAGTACATAACAGGATACATATCAGGATACATACCAGGCATCAGTGCAACAGCCAACCAGCAGATCTCAAAGTGGCCAAATATTCCAGACAGTTTTGATGTTTTGCTGTCCTGTTTTGTGTTAAATTGAAGTGGTAATACTTGGACGTTATTTTTGTGACTGCTTTTAACCAACCATCCCTCCTTGTTTTTGTCAGACTTTCCGCCCCCTCCTCCTCCTCCACTGGATGATGATTTGCCAGCCCCTCCCCCTGAATGCTCCACCATTCCCACTGCCTCTGATGCTCCCCCTCCCGCGTTCCCCGCTCCACCTCCAGTGGCAGATGACCTGCCCCTCCCAGCTCCCCCAGAGGAGAGCCGCTGTCCACCCACCTGTCCCTCTCCCCCTCCTCCCCCTCCTCCTCCACCTCTCCCTGCCTCCAGTACCAATGCTTTCAGTTCTTCGGGGACCCCACAGGTGAGTCACAGTGGTGTCTTCATCCTCCTGCACAGTGCTTCCTTCCTAACTGCATTTAAATATAATTGGATAATTATTTAGGACATTTTTGTGTGACCATTTTGAGTCTGTGGACTGACTGTTGGCAGGAAATGCTGTCTTTTGAGATTTTTCCCACAAATTATATTAGCATTAGTCCGGGGTAAATCACCCACTTTCATTCGTCTGACAGGATTATTTCCAATTTACGTCACTAAAATACTTCTTAGGCATGCAATGTGTTTTGAGGTTTATTGTGGAGATGTGTATTGTAGGCTTTCATTAGTTCCAGTTTGATTGTTGGGCTACAAGAGCAACATAAAGACAAATTATTTTTATTATTCTTTTTGGAAGTGCTAAAAAATGGCTGTAAAATAATATAAATATGATTTAAACCTCATGTTTGTATCAGCATTGAGCCCGTGCTAAATGATAATCAGCAAACAGCCAGATAAGTAACTGAAAATACAGTATTCTCTTTCATCTAACCAGAAATATTAACATAGCAAGCATTTATCATCATTATAATCACCTTTTTAAGCTTGTTTGTCATCGTTCTTTCATTTTTGTGTTTTGTCACATCAGTAATTGTTCAAGCGCTGCATATTGTACCCACTTTGGTTACATTATTTTTTTTAAATATCCATATTTAATGTTTTTGCTGTGTATTTATAGTCTGTAACAAAGTAACCTCTTCAGCTACATTTCTGCTCCTTACTCATCCATCCATCCTTTTTGCTTCATCGTGATTCCCCAATTTGTGTATATTAACTTTATTTCTGTGATCTCCATTCTTCCGCCACCAGAGATTTACGGAGAAGCAGACAAGTTTTGATAAACAGCTCAACTCTCTGACTGGCATGTTGTCTGAGATGGAGACCAAGGGACCTTTCAACCCCAAGGTATAATGCACAGGAAAATTAAGACTACAGTTTAAACATTTTGGTTTTCAAAATGCATTTAGTGGATAGCAGTGAATACAAGTGTAAACAACTGCCATGAAACTCCTTGGTCAGGTGCACTGGGACACATTTGACCACATTTCTTTTGTAGTGTAAATATAGATGTGTCCCCGACAGACGTAAGAGAAACAAGAACAATAATGGGGGACATGGTGGTGTTGTAGCTTGTCTTCACCCTTATATAGTGTGTGCTGATCTATTTTACCCTCTGAGCGAGATGCTGACATTAACAAAGTACTAATGGGTGGAAATGGCAATACGTCTTGGTTGTTTACTTGTGTTTAGATTCCTGAAATGGATTTAAAAGGCAAGTGTAAACAGAGGTTGCCTACAGAGCAAACAACCAGATGAGTAGCAAAATGACAAGACTTAGAGGAAGCCAGCTGTATAAAAACAAACTGACTCCTGTGGAGAAGAGAAAAAGGTAATGCTACATGGGTCAGGAGAAATATTTTGGGGACATACCAGGTTGGTTTCATTAGTCTCCCTTTGTCTGTTCAGGTGGAAAGAAGTCAATTAGTAGTGAACTGTTCGCACGGCGCACCAGACTGAAAGAGAAAACAAAAAGTGAGATAGCCGGTGATTCACACTGAGAGAAGAGACACTTGCAGAGAGGCAGAGTGATGCACGCAGAAGTGAGTGGAGAGCATTAGAGTGTGATGAAACCAGAGTGTGCTGCCAGGGACCCAGTGAGAGGGCCATAAATGGAGAGTGTTTTTAATCCAACAGGGAGGTACTGGATCAAGGCAGAATAATGCTGGCTCAAAACCTGCAAAATAAATGTCAGAAAGACGAAGCACTTCTGATAAGCTCAAACTTTGGAGCGCCTCCAGTGTTTACTTTAATCAAAGTACCTCATTCAGTATTATGATAGTGTCTGCTTGTAGCATTTCACCATGCAGGGAATATTAACTTCCCTCAATTCAATTATAGTTCATGGTAAATCAGAAAAACTCCATTCTTACGTGAAATTAGCGTTGTTGTTTTTTTTTCTTTTCTTTGCTTTTCCATCATAATAATTTTTTGTTTAATGTTATTTCACCCACAGATACCGAGCCAGTATTCATCAGCACCAGCACCCAAGGTCTCAGCTCCTCCAACCGCTCCCAAACCAGCCCTTTCCTTCCTCCCACCTCCCGAGATGGGCGATCGCCCTCCTCCTGCGCCCTGGGCAGAGGAACTCAAAGCCAGAACGAACCGACAGGGCAATCACAACACTGCGCCAAACTCTGCCGCTCAGTCTTTCGCTAAAGCACCAGCCGTGGCTCCCAAGTCTGGATTCGGAGGAAGAACGACGACATCATCAGCTTCTCTGGCGCAAAAAATCAACCAGAACCTGAACCAGACGCCCACCACTGCCAGCAGTGCACCTAAGCCTTCCCCTCCCATAGCTACTTGCTCTTTCCCTCCACCTCCTGCGGCTCCGCCTGCACCTCCTGCTCCACCAAATAACATGGCCACTGCACCGGCTGCTAATCACGTAAAGAGTTCTCCCTTTGCCAGTCAGATGAACGCAAACCAAAACACTCCTTCTGCTGTGCCACCTCCTCAACCCAAAACGATGGCATCTCCGCCCTCCTCCTTTAACCAGCCAATGAAAACTACCCCTGCATCGACGGTATGTTCCTGCTTTTTGCTTTGCATGCAGTGTGGAAAGTCACAGGAAGTACAGATAATTGATTGTCAGTAGATAGGAATGCTGGACATGCACAGTGTTTTCAAAGGTACAGTTATAAATAACAAAATCCAATATAAGACGCGTATGAAACTATAACATGCCTTAAAAAATTTATACATATGCACTTATGGCTTCTTCCTCTTCTGTGTCAGCCCTCACCCTCGGGCCCAGTTCCTAGTGCAGGTGGAGGTGTTCCTCTGAACATGAAAGAAGTGGAGGAGCTGGAGAGGATGACCAAGGACTTCATTAGAAACATGGATGCGAACCCACCTCTCATCACCTCCCCTCCTACAGGTGCAGACACGAAACTTCAAATAAAGCACACTTTTATTTCACTTGTATTTTGCATCTTTCTGATTTAATTAGAAAATAATTTCTTATAATTATCTTCAGAGAGTGCACTGATGTGGCTGAATTTTGAATCTCATTGTTGTTAATTACAGTCATTAAGTAGCTGCTCGTTTGGAAAAACTTGAGTTGGTGGCGTGGGAGAGGCGTTAACAAAAGTAATGGTTTAACTTTTTGATTGTTGATAATCTTAGTGAAATGAATGCAGGAAAAAATATTACCAATGAAATATTAATGTCCCAAACTGCAAATATTCAGCAGACATAAGAAATTATTCACCTTTCAGTTTGCTGACTGGTTGCAAAATGCAGATTGTTATGGACATCAAAATATATTCACAGTTTATCCTTTGTGATCTACAATTTAAATGTGGTCAGCTTTTGTCTCTCCAGTGTTACATCTATGACCCTAAAAAATAAGCTGCATCTTTGGGATAACATATTGACTGTGCAGAACAGTTTACACAAACCAAACAAATGCATAAAACTACAAGTTTCCCATCTGTGTTTATTACACTGTTGTACCAGAGCTGAGTAAAGAGACGGAGAATTTGCTTGTTCATAAAGTTGTTTGTGTATCTTTCTCTTTTCTTCAGAGGTTTGTGGAAAATGTGGTGAGGCTCTCTCCCGTACTCAGCCAGCAGTGAGGGCCATGGATAAACTCTTCCACTCCACCTGCTTCTGTTGCATGACCTGTCACCGCCCCCTGCAGGGCATGCAGTTCTATGACAGGGATGGTTCACCACAGTGTGAGGACTGCTACGTGGTGAGGAGATGCAGACATTTATTCTTCTTATATTTTTGCTGAATTGAGTATATAAGGTGCATGTTTAACTAGTTTTTCACCTCCATTCTCCTCACATTCATGCTGTTGCTCCTCAGAGCTCCCTGGCTGTGTGTTCTCGATGTGGGGAGAAGATCACAGACCGTGTGTTGAAGGCAGTTGGACAGTGTTTCCACGCCCACTGTTTCCGCTGCAGCACCTGCTCTTGTGTACTTGAGGGGGCACCCTTTATCACTGATGACAATAACAACCCCTACTGTGTCCAGGATTACCACAGGTCACTATGGATTTCCACATAAAAAAATAGTATATTTCTGTTAATTCCTTATGAGAAGTGATCATGTGGTGCAGTTCTTCTTGCAAACATTCTCAGAACAATGATGTGTGGTTAAAGCCAACAGTTAATTTTGGATTCCAGTATTTGTACCCATCTAAATGATCAGTGAGATAGTTTATGCTAGAGGAAAGAACACTTTAAAATCTCCTTCTCATTTTGATCAGATCACTTAAAACTTTGTTTAGAGCTCACTGAGCTCACTCAAAATGTGTTTGACAAAGCCAACTAAACTTTGCTGCAACTTGTTGCCAGGCCCAGAAGCAACATACTTTATTACATCTCAGTGGAATATCACTGATTGTTTCAGTGTTTCCTCAGCTAGGGGTGTGAATGCGTAAGAGTTCAACTGAGGTAATTAACTCAAATCCACCTCCCTTCTCGTAGGCGTTTCTCCCCTATGTGTGTGAGCTGTAATGAACCCATTATTCCAGCCCCGGGCAGCGAGGAGACGGTCAGAGTGGTAGCTCTTGACAAGAACTTCCACCTCAAGTGTTACCGCTGTGAGGTAAGACCTATACATAGTTGTTTTTGTTTGGGTTTTTGTTGTTGTTGTTTTTTATGAGTGTCACAGGGTGTTTCAGCTTCTGATAATCAATATTTCAATTACTCTGCAGGACTGTGCTCGCCCTCTCTCCATAGAAGCAGATGAAAATGGCTGCTATCCGCTGGATGGCAAGATCCTGTGTATGAAGTGCCACACCCAACGAGCCAAGCAGGCCGCGCACTGATTGGCTAAAGCAGCATCACTCAGTGTAACAATGAACCAAATCCAAAAGCACAGGATTCATCCAGCTGCAGATTTTTTGCCTTTGCGACAGGGCTTTGTTCAGTATATGTGCGCAGGTGTGTGGGTGAATGTTCAGCGTGAATATGTATGTTTGCATGCAGATAAAGTGTAGTATTTCCTTCGTCTTTGTTCACTTTATTCAGTGCAGAGGTAATGTACTGCACCGAAATTGGTTTTATTCCACATCTCCTATTCTCCAATCGCCCATCTCGCCTTCTTTGTTACTAGAGCCTTTTTTTTTTTTGGGTGCCAATTGTATGTTTACGCTAAAAATTACCAGCAGAACTTGCACAAGAACAGTTGGGTCAAAAGAACAGTCTGATAAATATAAAGTTGCCTTTCTCTGTTTCTTGCCTAGATGTTGGTAGTAGCATCATAAACTGGTTCCACTGGCTGTATTTTTTCTCTTTGAGCATTTTAACTATGCTTTTTGTGCCTGAGACCGAGGAGTGTAAGAAACCTCCAAATTGACAGTCATGCAGATGTCACCATCCTTGTTGCCTGAGAGTAGAGTACATCTTTTAGATTTCGGTAGTTGTTACACAGCCAGGCATGATTAATGACGCTTTCCTGCCTAGAAAGTACTTCATATCAGCTAGTCTACTCCTAATAGCATTTTAAAGTCGCATAGGGCTTTAAGGCAACAGCAAAAAGAAAAAATGGTGAATATTGCTTTGAGTTTTTGTGATGTGAATTTAATGCTTTACAGGCATGCATTGAATTAACTCTTGTTGCTCTCGCTACTCGATGATATTGTATAAGGGCAAGATGAGAACAAAAATCAACTTTTTTTTTCTCCTACAAAATAGTTTAGAGCTGATTGAACCATGCTAAGTATTTTTAGATGCATGCTTTGTGGATGGCGAGATTTCGTACAAACAAACGAGCACAGATTTCCCAAGCACAGACTCCATCCTGAGGATCTCACAATCAAAAACCGAGTTACTTTTAACTATCAGCTGTATGGCTGAAAACGGGACCTATCAAGTAATTTCACTGTGCAGGGGCCATTTTATTCAAAGTCATACTGAGAACATTTACACATATGTGTAAATAAAATTGCCCCTGCACAAGGTCATTGTAAGCAAACGGCAAATAGAAACAAAACACCAGTGTTTGATGTGCATTTATTATTATCTCTTAGCTTATAAGCTTTGTATGATATAAATCATGGACCTGTTTTTCCTAAGTATTATGGTTGCATACGCAGCAGTACTAAAATAACCTGTCCTGACAGCAGGGTGATAGAAATGTAGAGGCATTTCAGTTCTAGGTAGCAATGTTTAAAAACGCAGACCAAATCTTTCTGTTTAGAGCTTAAGATCAATAAAACGGTTACATGGGATTTGATGTTGTAACATTCATGCGTGGTTTATGTTTGTTTGTTTGACCCTAGTTTCTGGTCCGTTTCTCCCGTTACGGTGATTACCACTATTCTTGCCATTACTTAACTTTTGTACGTTTAGCCTGTTCATGTCGGTTATATACTATTTTATTCTTTTCTTGCTGTTCTGTATTTTGCTAATTAAAGCTTACATTTATTTGGTTTCATTTTAACCTGGCGCCGTGCCTTCTCCATTATTGTATCCTATTGTTCCTTCTGAATTGAGCCTGGTTTGCAGCCACAGAAATGAATTCCTCGGTAAGAAAATTGCTGCTTGTGCTTGCAATTGAGCCTGGTGCAGTAAATCACCAGAATGACTAACAAAACATGGCAATAGTGATTCAGCATTGCATGCTATCTGTGGAAGCAGTGGTGGAATTTCCTCTAGTATTATGTCCTGTGTTTCCACCGACTACTCCACCTTTGTGGCCCTGCCTTTGTCATCACCATGTGATATAAACTCTACCATAATGCCTTCATGGCTGCGTTCATCAGGCATTGCATTGTGTTACATCCTATTGTATTACATGTGGATGCCTTGTCCTTTCATATAACTTTTTATACGTTTGATATGTGTGAATGTCTTACATTATTCTAGTCCTATCCATCCTTTTTGGCTGTATCAAAAAATAAAGAGAAATGTTAAATCCATGTCCCAGTCTTTCAATTTCAGTTATGTGCTAATATAATGTATGCACCCACATCGCTGGGTACACTGCACCCAACCGATACCCGTGAAGCATGTTTTCTCTCAGACCCTCAATGTGCTTCACTGCTAGAGTTTGACTGCTCTATCAGTTGTAAACAGCCATATGTTGCGCTGATAATGACGACAGCAGACCTGTGTGCGTATGCATTTAAGCGTACTTTCCAGGAAGAACTATTCACCCTGTTCCAATCCGATGCAGCAACGAATAAGCATAAGCAAGGTACTAGACTCAACTTACCACTACCTGCCTTGTTCTGACGCTTTTACCACTACACACGGGAGTTATTCATGGTGTCACTGTAGTTCACAAATCCCAAAACATCCTGTCTGCTTAGAAGAACCTTTGCTTGATGAGGAGAGCGAGACGCAGCATGCAGAGTGGTTTTTATCAGTGTCAGATGAGGAGAGAAGTGACTGATGAAAAGAGATAGCTGAGATGACAGCTATTTGACGGGGGGAACAGGAGGCGGTAGACGTAAAAGAGGATGTAACACGCTGGGAAAACACAAGTCAAGAATGAGTGAAACAGAGCTTGAGGTAAGATCTCAATAACAAAGTTGGTTATATTGTTAGCTGTTTTAGGCTCATGTGTATGTTGTAACCGCTGGAAACAAGGCCAAGTCACTGTGCCTAAGAAATATAATATTTAAAGAATCTGACTTTGAAAGGGTGAAGTCTGCTGTCTTTGCAAATTAGACTTAAACTGCTCTGTGCAAAAGATTGTGCTTAAATAAATTACATGAAACTCACCTAATGAATTCCATGTCATGTGTAGCTCTTGATCACGCATTGTTACTGTTAAAAGTAGTTTTTA